TTTTTAACAATATGCTTTTTACGGGCTTTTTAAAATGTATTACACTTTGCATATCTTTTAAAACTTAAATGTATTGCACCATTAATTTAAAGCGTTCCCCGTATTATACCGTTTTTATTTAACTTTTTATTTATAAAGCATAATATTTTACGGCTATTACAAACCGTCTTACGGGTTTTTTTACGTTTTTTCCCGGTAGCCAGCCGGTTTGGCACGTTAAAACATTTTTTTTGGGCTATTCCTTTAGCCTTTGTTACTTTTTTCCTGTAATACCCCCGTCCTTTCCAGGTATTTACCCGCTAAGGTCCGGTATTTTCCTTATTTTATAAATTTATTTCCAATAAATTTGCTTTATACGTTTAAACAATCTTTTTCGTAATATTTTTTTTTAAAATTTACGAATTTTCCAATTCGTTGTAACTTATTTATTTAACCAGGTATTTTCGTTTTTGCAAAAGCCTTTTATATCCCAATAAAGCTTTTATTTCGAAGCGATCCTTTTTTTTTTCGATTTTTGGTTTTTTATTTTTTGGTTTTTCGCCGGGCCTTTTTTTAAACGCCCGCAATAAATTTGCCGGGAATACGTCGTATATCCGGTAATTTACCGAAAATTTTAACCGAAACGCCAAACCGGCTAACCCAACCATTTTTAAAATTTAAAAAGGTCCTAACCATTTATTTAATAGCTTTTTCGACGGCCTTTTCATTTTAATGTTTGTTGTATTTAATAATACTTAATTGCCCACCCCGAAAGGCACCGGGGTCCTGCTTTTATTATAATACTTTTTGTACATATTATTTGCTTTTTTTAACAATTTTTTGGCTTGCTTTTTAATTGCTTTTAAAGCCCCCGCTTTAATTTTAACCGTTGCTAAAGGTTTTTTTTTAATTACCCAAAGGTTATAAAGCTTTTATAAGTAAAACCTTATTAACAAAAACGCCGGGGTTTCCTGCAACCCTAAATGCACGCTTATATTGTGCACTTACGCTGCCAGGTGCAACAATAACGCCCAATCGTTTTGCTTTTCGCAGCAAAAGCACCGAAAGTAATGCTTTATTGCCTAATTCGTCCGTTCCGTTTGCCCGTTGGTTTAAAAATGGTATGCTATTAATAACCTTTTTATAACCCTTAAATATCCGGCAAAGGTTATTTAAAACCCGTTTGTAAATAGCTTGTTTTAATTTAATACAATCCTTTCGGGCGTTTTTAATAACTTTTAAACGTATGCAAATAAAAAGTTCCCCAATTTTTTACTGGTTAATTTCGTAAACGTTGGGATAAAAAAGCTATATTTAATAAACCGGTTAACTATTACCAATATTGCGTTACGCTTTTTGCCGGTTTTATCCATTAACGTTAAAAGCTTTCCAATAAAATTTATCGATAATTTTTGTTCCGGGCGGTTTAATACGGGCAAAAATGCTAGCAACCCGTAAAGTGCTTATGTTTTCGGCTTCGTTTATTAGCATATTTAATACGTCCGTACGTATTTGCGTACGTTTTTAACCATACCCGGCCATTTAAACTGCCGTTTAAGCTTTTTTAAAATTTTGGCCATGCTTTTGTAACCCCCCGTTAAGCTATCGTATTATTTTTAAAGCATTATTCGCTTAAACGGTATTAAATTCGGAATCCAAACTTTTTTTTTATGCTTAAACAAACCGTTATTAATTTTTTAAACGTTAAGTTTGTTTTTCCAAATGCCGCTTTAAATAAAATTGTTTTTTGCTTATGCTTTAAAAATGCGCTCCAATATCGTTTTAATATTTTTTTTAATAGTAATTATCCTTACGTAAGCTGCTTTTTAGAATTTGGCTAGCAAATCGCTTCGGAATTCTTCCTTTGCTATATTGGCTTTCCCGTCCATTAATATATTTTAAAAACGTTTTAACAAACTATCCGCGGGGTTCCGGTATTTTGGCTTTTATTTAATCGTAAAATTATACTTTACTAAATTTTTAAACAATTTTATTTAGCGCTTTATTACCTTTTTTTTGTTAAAATATGGGTATGGTTTAAATAATTAATAATTATTTTAACAATTTTTTGTAAATAGGCCAGGTAATGCCGTTACTTTTCGAAGGCTTTTACGATCGTTAGCAATTTTAAATTAAAGATTGCATAGCGCAATTTTTTTTATTGCAATTTTTTTAACATGTAAGCCATTGGATGCTACCGGCCGTTTTGCAATTGCAATAGCACCGCTTTTATTGCAAAAGCTAAAGCGTTGGTCCGTACGCATAGCGGCTTTAAAAGGTTAAAATGTACCAATACCGAAATTTTCGTAAATAGCAATTTTAATTTGCAAAAAGCCTTTTTCGCAACATTTTTTAAGTAAAATACGGTATCCTTGCTAAAAAGGTCCGTTAAAAGCATAATAATTTTCGCGTAACCCTTTACGAATTTCCAATAATACCCCGTAAAGCCCAAAAATACCTAAATATTTTTAACGCTTTCCGGTATTTTTTACTTTAAAATTGCAATAACTTTATTCGGCAAAATTTTAACCCCGAATTTGGTTATTTTAAACCCCAAAAAGTCGATATTATCCGTTTCGAATTTGCATTTAACCGGGCTAACGTAAAGCTTAAACCGTTCAAATCGCTTTAGCACCGTTTTTATTGCTTTGCGATGCTCCTTTTATATTTTCGAAAAAATAAAGATATTGTTTAAATACACAATGCAATTATTATTAATCAATTTTTTAAACGCTATATTAATAAAATTTTAAAACGTTGCTAAAGCGTTGGCCAAACCGAAAAGCATTATTAAATATTTGTAATGTCCATATTTGTAGCGGAAAGCAATTTTTTACTTATTTTTTTATCGAATCCGTATTTTGTAATAAGCGTTTTTTTAAATTTAATTTGGTAAAATACTGGTTTTTAAATACCCGGTCGAATATTTTATAAATTAGCGGGAATGCCAGCCGGTTTTTTTTGGTAATTTTATTAAAACCCCAATAATTAATATAAAAGCGAAACTTTCCGTCCTTTTTTAAAACGAATAGGATTTTGGCGCCGGCGGGGCTAATTAAATGCCGGATTTAACCTTTCGTTATAATTTTATCGAAATACCCCCGAAAAATTTTTAATTCCTTTTCGAATAAAAAATAAATGTTTTCGTAAAGCGGCATTGTTTTTTTTTCCAATTTAATTGCGTGGTTTTAGCTTGTATATTTTGGCAAAGGGTTTAATTTATAAAATTGCGCATATTTTGTAACTATCCCCTTAATTTATTCCGGGAAAGCTTTTAGCCCTTTCCCGGGATTTTCCGGGGTTTCCGGGCGTACAACCGTTAGTACGGTTATCGCTTGTTCCAATTAAATTAACTTTTTAACTATTTCCAACAAAATTATTTTAACCTTTTTGGTAATTACCGGAAACCTTTACCTTATATTTCCAAACCGGATTTTAATATTTTTTTGCTAAAGCTAAAGCATATTTAACGTAATATTGTACCCGGCCCGGAGCACCATTACGTAAAATACCATTAACTTTTGGGTTATTCCCCAGCTATTCGTTACCCGAATTTTATATTCCTTTACCCTTAGCGTAAGCATGCGTTTTTTGGTATCGAACCACGCCAAATAGCCCCCGTTTGGCACCGGTATTTTTTTTACTTTTACCAAAAAATGGTTATGCAATAAATTAACGTTATTTTTATTATTAACCAATGCCTTTAACTTTACCCGGCGACCGTTAATTTATAAATACATTTTGGTTTTCCAGCGCGTCCTAACCGCCGGGGCGCATTTTTAAGCCCCGGTGTTTAAACGGCCAAATAGCGGTATCGAATTGGGTAGCGATATTTTGCTTTTTTTAAAGCACGCCGGCCGGATATAACCTAACTTTTTACACCCGTAATACCGTACTTTAAGCCTTTTCCCTTTTGCCCTTTATATAATTGCTAAAGCCAATGGGGTTTCCGGGTTATCCGTTTATATTTTGCATGCTGCAATAATATAGCTTAATTGCCCGCATTTAAAGCAAATAACCGGTTTTTTAAAGGCTGGGACATTTATATCCCCCGGGGTCCCTTTATGCGGTTCCGATATTATTTTTGTTTTAAAGGCTTTGGTTTGCAATTTTTCCATAATGTAAAAAAAGCTTTTAAATATTACCCGTTTTTGGATTTCGGGGCGGAATTGGTTAAAAAGCAATGTTATTTTTATTTATTTAAATGTTAATTCGAAAAGGTCGTTTTTTACCAAATCCTAATAAATCCGGAACGCTTTAAATAATTTGTAATTTTTTTATTTAATAACGATATTCCCCGCAAGCTTTTTAATTGCCAACCATATTCGCGAATCGGGGTTTTTCGATTTTGCTTAAAATTACCGCAAAAAATCGGCCTAAATAAACAATATCCCGGTATTTAAGTAATGCATTTGCTTGTATTTTGTTTATTGTACCCGTTAATAATGGTTAAAAATGCTAAAAGCTATTTAAACCTTTATACGGTCCTTACCGTAACGTCCCCTTTTGTTTTTAAAAATAAATTTATAATTGCTAATGTAATGGGCAATGTTTTGCCAAATTGCCGATTTTTTAAGCATAAAAGGTTTAAAAGTAACTTTGTTTTACGTAAAACCTTTTCGTTGCTTAAAAGTATTTCCTTTATTTTCGTTTAAACCTTTATGCGCATATTTTAACCCTTTGTTTTAAATTTTTTAAATTAAACAAGCGCGTTTGCTTTAAGCTTTTAGCGCGTCGTTTATTTTTTGCAATTCCTTTACGAAAAGGTTTTCGAAATCGTTGGAAATTTGCGGGGTTTTTTTAATGTTTTGTTCCGGTAGCCTAACGGCCTTTTCCAACGTATTCGACGTGGCGTTAAGCGTTATTATAAACGGTGCAAAATTGCAAATGCCTTTTTTAAATTTGCTCGATCCCTTCCAATAATTACCCGGGCTTGCTCCCCAAATAAAAAAGGTATAAAAAAAAAATAATATATTAAAGGTTAATTGGTATAAAAGCGGGTAATTACCGGGTTACGGGCCGGATACGGTGTTTTTTTTGTTAAACTTCCGTAAATTTTTTACCAAAAATGCTATTGCCAACAAAAATTGTTCCTTTTTTAACTTCCTTTTTTTTCGTCCTTTTCGGGCACCCGGGATCGGTCTTTTAAATTTTTCGCGCTTTAAGCGCTTTCGTGCAATTTAAGCTTTATTTTATTTTTTAGCTTCGTTATTATGCTTTGGCCGCGATATTAATAATTTGCCGGCATGTTCCCGGGGGGTCCGTGCCCGGCTAGCTGCTAGCGCCCCCTTTTTCCTTTTTTGCCGGGCGGTTTCGCCCGTGCATTTAACGCTCCCCGCTTTTTGCCGGGCGGTTTTGCCCGTGCTCCTAATACCCCGGCATAAAAATTAATTTTAAAATGCTTAAAATCCGCGTTATAAAACTTTTTTACGTTTAAAGGATAAATTTTGCACCCGTAAGCGTAAATACCGTCCCAATCCGGTTTTAAATTAATTGTTAAACCCGTAAAAAGCTTTAGGGCGTAATGCCGGAACCACCCCCAAAACCAATTTAAAAAAATGTTATTAAAAGCGCGCATGCTTTTTAACGGTAAAAAATTTATATTTTTTAGCTAAACGGCAGCATAAACCGTTTCCGGCCATAAATGCTTAAAAAATTTTGCGCTTTTACGCATGCGTATCCTTTTCGTAATAACGTTTTATCCCGTGCGTTTAATTATTTCGTTGGGTTTGTAAATGTATAACGGTAAGGTTTCGATAACAATACCTTTAATTTAAGCCCATTTTTCGTATTTCGAAAACCCTTTTACAAATATAATGGATTTTTTTTGGTTGTATTTAAAAATAACAATAAATAATTCGTATTATTTTTTTACCCACGCTTTTTATTTTTTTAAAACCTTAATAACCATCGGTTCCTTTTTGTTTGGAAATGTAAAGCTTTAGGTTTTGCCGCTGTATTTATCCATTAATAACAAAACCCAATTTATCCTTAACTTTAACTTAGGGTAATTAAATAAATTAAATTAAACCTTCCAAAAGGGGCGCATGGCCTTTTTTATAAAACGCTTAAAAACGACGGCTATAGCGTAAATTGTTGCGCATGCTTCGCATTTAATCCGTTTAAGTCCTTTAATTTTAACGTTTCGGGCGTTTTAAACGAAAGCTTTTAGCGCTTGTAATTTTAAATAACCATTGCGCAAATGCTAAAAGTTGGTAATATTTTTTTGCGGTTTCGTAAAGTCCGAAAATGGACGCTATATGTGCGTAATACGCTTGCGGCGTAAAAATTCTTTAATTGCAAAGGTTAAAACCGTATTTTTTGGAAAAAATTGTAACGTGGTTAATATAAAATAAATAACAATAAATTTGTATTTATAAAACATTACGTTATTTTGCGCTAAAAGCGTTTAATTACTTTTCCGTTAATAACCTTTTTAATGCGCAAAATTGCGTTTTTCCCGCAAAACCATACCCTTTTAGCGTTTAAACGGGCTTCCGAAATAATATTAACATAAAAGCTTTCCATTAAAACAACGTTGTAAAATTTAAAGTTTTCGCTTCCGTTTAAAAAATTAAAAAGCGTACGAATGCTACGTTTTAAAATTGGAAGGTATTAAATGCCGCATTAAACCGTTTCCGTACCGTTTAACGATTAAAACGACCTTTTATTAAAGCGCTTTTTGTTATTAACGATATAAAACAAACCGCAATTATTAAATAGCGTATTTTCGAAATAAATATTTTTTATAATATTAAAAGCCAAAAAAACGCTTTAAAGCAAAAGTACTTTAAGTACGGCCACGTTTAAATCTTATTTTTTTTTAAAGCTTGGGGATTGGAGCTTAACGCGCTTTTAATTTGCTTCCCCTAAACGGAATTTTTAAATTTGCTTTTAAAAAGGAAAAACTTTTTAAATAATTTCCAACGGTTTTTTTTTAAAAACTTTTTAATTTTTTTGCACTTTTCGTTGCTTAATTTATTGCAAAAGCGTTTGGAATTGCCGGTAAGCACGTAAACGAGCTTTTAACAATCCTTCGGCTTTTAGGAATGGTTTTAAATGCAAACCGGGCATTTATACGTTATTGCGTTATTTTGTTAAATGTTTTTAACTTTTTCGTTTTTATTTTTAAATGCGCCTTTAAAAGTTAAAAACGCAAGCTTTTTTTTAATGCCCGAATTATTAATACGGTGCTAAAAAAAAATCGTTAAAAATTTAGTAACCAAAATATCCATTTTTTCCGTAAAATCGCCCGTAATTACTTTTTAACGGTAGCGCTTTGCTTAAAAAAGGTTAAAGCGTTTTATATACTTAAAAAAATTAAGCATAAGCGTAAAGCTTTGTGCTTTAAAAACATTTTTAATTTTGGCTTAAATAAAAATCGTTTAAAATTTCGAAAATTATTAATTAACGTTTGTAATGCTAGCGGCTTTTTTAAGCGTATTGCGGTATTTTTAAAAAATTATTTAAATTTTTATTATAGAAATAAAAGCGTAAAGCGCTTTTAAATAAATAATGGTGCTACGAAAAATAACGTAATTATTGGTTTAAGCTTTTAATTGCGCGTTTGCAAGCGCAATAAAATTTACGAAAAAATTAATCCATTTGGAAAGGGTTGTAATTTTTTTCGAAACGGTTTTGTTTGCGGTATCCTTTGCTTTAAACGCTTTTTTGTATTTGGCTTTAAAATTACCTTTAATAAAAACCGAAAAGGCTTGAAAAGGTTTAAAATTAAATCCTCGCGTAGCTTTGCTTTTGCTTTGTTAAGCTTTTAAACGAACCTTTTTTTTTTCGGTCGAAAGGATTGTTTGCCAAACCAAACGCTTAAATTTATGGTTTTTAACGTGCTTGGCCCGGGCTTTTGTTGCAAAAAAGTTAAAATTTAAAATTTCGTTAGCTTGTACGTCGTTCGAAAATTTTAAATTAAAATTAACTTGGTTCCAAATCCTTAAAATTAATACGTTTTAACGAAACGCCGTAAATTACGTAAGCCATTGCTTTTAATTTTTAAATAACGCTATTACGAAAAAATCGTTATTTGTATTATTTATAATTGGTAATAACCGGAAGTTCGTAAAAGTAAAGCGGTAAAAAATAAAGGGTTAAAAGTTTTAATAGCGTAAAAACGTAAAAATTAAAAAAGTAAAATTTAATAAAAGTTTTTAGCAACGTTTAGAATTAATAACGAAATTTGCTTTGGCAAAAAAAATTTTATTAAAGGAAATTTTAAAAGCGTAAAAATTTTTCCGTAAAAAAATTGCGAAAAGGAAAAAAAGGATAAACGCGTTTAAAAAAGCGCGTTTGGAAACGATTTAATAAAAGTAATAAAAAAGGAATAAATTCGTATTGCTAAGCCTTTTACTTTACGTTAAAAGGTTTAAAAGTTGCCGGGCTTATAATTGTTGCAAGCAAAAGGGATAAGCACGGTATAAAGCTATTCCGGTTAATATGCTTTAAAAAAAAAAGGATTTAAAGTGCAAAGTCCCGTAA